CAATAATTTTGTAGATATTTACGTAAATATCTTAGAAAATAGAGATCGTATAAAAAATTTTTTCAAACAAAAGTTGTTTGCTTTTTCACGTAGAATAAAATGCCGTAATAAAAAATATGTATTTCTATTTAAAAAAGCAAAGTTGATCTTGTCCTGACCTTGGCGACGTCATCTTAAGTCAAGTAACTACTGTCATTAAATGCAACTTTTTAAGCCTTACAACTTTTATTCAAAACATTTTTCTCTAAAATGCTCCCCCGCCGAGTTTTCTTGCCGTTGCCGAACTTATGAGACACACTGTATATATATACGTATTAATATGTATATATACAGATGTTTTTTCTTTTTATTTATTTTCGCTCTTGAAATTTGCCACGTGGCGTGGCTCGCAATGCTCATATATCGAGTTGCAGTGGTCGCTTTAATGTTATAATGAAAAATATAATCTAATTAATATTTTATGATGCAATATTACTTCGTATTTAGTCCAACTTCGAATTAATTTTTAAATTATTGCAGCATGATTCTGTTCTGACAATGATTCTATAACGACGTGAATAACATTTTTTCCACTTTATATATATATATATATATATATATTTTTTTTTTTTTTTTTTTTCCTTAAGTCTAGCGTTATTATACTGATGATTTTCGGTTTCTACGAAAAAAAAACATAAAAAAATATAAATATGAAACGATTCCCGAACGGAACTCCCCTATAAAGGTTATATCCTCCTTTATTTGCATGTGTATATGCATATGAAATATCAGTCTCGGTAGAAATATAAAATGAAATTTTTATAATAATAATAAATTCGTATAGAGAAAGAGAAAGATGAAACGATCGTAACTAGATGATATAACTTAAACCTCCCACACACACTTGATTTTCGCACCATTCGAGGGCGCACTGAGTCCATTTCTTATCCGTGACTATTTTTTTAATTATTCTAAGCTTTTAAAAAATCTAAGAAAATTCTAGGATACTTTTTGAAGTCTCTATTTTAATATACATCGAAATTATATTGCTACTTGAGTCAAATTTACAGATTTAATTAGGAAAAATGAAAATTTTGAAGCAGTTTAAAAAAAATAGGAATTTGTTTAAAAATTCATAACTTTGTATATAAGTATAAAATTTTATATTCATAATTTTATATTCATGAGTATAAAAAAAAAAGTTATTCTAGAGTTATGTACTTCTGATTATAATTTTTCGAAAACATGCATACTTCCCTTACAGAAATATCATACTAAGAATCATTGATAATTACTTATTTTCAGTATTAAAAATACTGGATAATTGCAGCAGTTTCAAAAAGTATAATTATTTTGAAACCTGAAGTTGAAGTAATTTTATCCAGTAATACAAGAAACTTTAAAGTTTTCATTCATAAAGGATTACAAAAATAGTCTTTATATGAAACAATCGTTACAAAAAGGTGTACGTTGGGTCGTCGCACATAGGTCTTTCGCACATTATACAGCAATACTAAGCTTTTATCTGCACTTAATGGACAAAAACTGCGCCGTTTACATTTGGGCAGCTTAAAAAAATTATTTCACTAAATAAGTATTCCAGAATGTAAGAAAATGATAGAAAAATGGAAATTTACTCACTTCCGAAAATTCTAACATCGAGGGTATACTAAGTCCTTTTGGGCACAAGAGCGACATTATCTGCTTGCTGGTCTGGAGCAGACTAACCTGGGCCCAAATCCCGTCGCGTGCGAATAGTCTCCACTACCTACTTTTTTAGGGGAAAAAACCTGGGTCAACTTAGCCTCCCTTTCAAACATATTCAAGAATGAAAATTTACTGCGGACAAAATAGACACAGTATACCCACGGGTTAAATTATGTAATATTGTAAAATAATATTATATGGAAATTGTAAAATATATAGCTATTTTAATTTATATATTAATATTTTCTCATAGCTATTTATCTCCTTTTATTAGTTTTCACTAATATTGTAAATTTTGTACCACCAATTATTTATGTATATATATATGTATATGTATATGTATATATATATATATATATGTATATATATGAATATATATATACATATGTATATATATATATGTATATATATGTATATATATGAATATATATATACATATGTATATATATATATGTACATATATATATATATATGAATATATATATACATATGTATATATATATATGTACATATATATATATATATGAATATATATATACATATGTATATATATATATGTACATATATATATATATATGAATATATATATACATATGTATATATATATATGTACATATATATATATATATGAATATATATATACATATG